TACAATAAATGAAATTTAAGTTAAGAACTGAGTATATAATTTTTTTAAAAAATAAAAGATGAACAAGATGTGAGTTTCGGCACCTTTTTTCTTACGAAAAAAAAAAGGCACTGTGTATTACCTTTGCAAAAGGCATTAAAACAGCCTGTTTTTTATTATTATTAAAAGTTTTATAAAGATTACAGTATAAACCCCCATACCCACCCCAAAACCCCACCCTCACCCTCCCCCACTTCCCAGAGCTGAATACAGGGTTACAAATATAATAATCAAAATCTATCTAACATTAACCATTAAAATAACCAAGTCCATAATACGCTTTAACTCCCCTTTAACACAAATTTAAACAAATTAAAGTTAAACACAATAATAAACATATTCATAACCTAAATATTAAACAATACCATACTAATATTAAAAATAATAATAATATCATATAATTAAAACCAACACAAATTCCATTAAAATAAACTATTAATAATAACAATACTCTAGAGTTTACTCATAACCCAAATGAAACTTTTTAGTCCCATATTTATTCTGAATATAATCTATCCATCTTCTCCAGACCGAGATGTATCTTTCTTGTGATTGATCCTTCAAAATAAGCGAAAATTTTAGCCATTTCTGCTAAATTTGACACTTTAAGTGTCCATTCTTCTATAGTGGGCAAAGAGTCCTTCTTCCAAAATTGGGCTACCAATAATCTTGCAGCTGTTATAAGATTCAACATCAAATTCATAGCCTTTTAGCCATTATTAAAACAGCCATTATTCCCTTTTAACAACCAGGAGAAAAGGTCTGCCAGAGACCGTCCTCGTATTTACCTGATCTCCTGCTGCGTTCTGTTGATCCCGGGGCGTCTTTAGAGCCACGTCGCTATAGTAAGCGTAGGAGACCTCAAGATCCTGGGGGTAATTACTCATCCCTTGATAGTGCTTGTAGCCCAGGCTCAGCAGAGCAAGACGATCCGCTTCTTGAGCTGCAACCAAGTTGTAGAGCAATCCCTGGAAAGGACGAACCGTTTGGAAGGTAAACCCAGAAAGGTAACATCATATTATTGTAGTTTTATAGTATTATAGCTTTGTATTGTTGTAGTTTTGGTCACCACCGTGTAAAAAATAGATGTTGAGACTCTAGAAAGAGTGCAGAGAAGAGCAACAAAGATGATTAGGGGACTGGAGGCTAAAACATACAAGGAACGGTTGCTGGAATTGGGTATGTCTAGTTTAACGAAGAGAAGGACAAGGGGGGACATGACAGCAGCCTTCCAATATCTCAGGGGCTGCCCCAAAGAAGAGGGAGTCAAGCTATTCTCCAAAGCCCCTGAAGGCAGGACAAGAAGCAACGGGTGGAAACTAATCAAGGAGGGAAGCAACCTAGAACTAAGGAGAAACTTCCTGGCAGTGAGAACAATTAACCAGTGGAACAACCTGCCTCCAGAAGCGGTGAATGCTCCAACACTGGAAGTTTTTAAGAAGAGACTGGACAGCCATTTGTCCGGAATGGTATAGGGTTTCCTGCCTGAGCAGGGGGTTGGACTAGATGACCTTCAAGGTCCCCTCCTCCTCCTCCTCCTCCTCCTCCTCATTATTATTATTATTACTATTACTATTGCTATTATATTATTATTATTATTATTATTATTATTATTATTATTATTATTCCTGCCTGAGCAAGGGGTTGGTAGATGACCTCCAAGATCCCTTCCAACTTTTTATTATTATTATTATTATTATTATTATTATTATTATTATTATTATTATTATTATTATTATTATTATTATTAACTGCTTCCATCCTGCGACGATATCTGTAATACCATCAAACATCCACATCTGCCTATCCCAGGTCCTGGGTAAGGACTCGATAGGTAGACAAAATGCCAAATCCAGTCTGAACATCTGGCTGACTTTGCGATGATCCATAATAATAATAAAATATAATATTATAATAATATTATATTATATATACCTCAGACATGGAGGTAAGACCTTCTGACAAGCAAAGTCACTGGGCAAGCCTGATTGACTTCACAGCCAAGTGGCTAACTTAACCACTGAGGTGATTCTCTTAACAACGGTGACAAAAATGGTCGTAAAACGGGGAAAAACTCCCTTAACGAATGCCTCCCTTAACAACAGAAATTTCGGGGCCTCGATTGTGGTCGTAAGCCAAGGACCACCTCTATCTGTACTACAGCTAAACCTAGACTCGTAGCAAGGGCTTCTCAACCTTAAGTCAACTTTAAGATGGGTGGACTTCAACTCCCAGAATTCCCCAGCCAGCCAGATGCAAACCACATCAGGACAGGTGCTTCAGGGAGGCTGATGAAAGCCATGGACCCCCTCAGAGGCTTCTAAATCCTGGAGTAGAAATGCGAGTATCCCAAGATCTTACCTGAACTGGGTCTGGAGATACACCTAGCCCAACTTCGAAGATGACACCGAGAACGTAAGAAGCTCTGGAATATCCATAACTGCTGGAATCCCTCAGGGCCAAAATGGAGGAATTGATATAAAGCAGACCATCCGCTCGTGATAGGTTTTGAGCAGATGCCTCAAATAACCTGCGTCCAATTTTGAAGGCTATCTCCTTCTTGTGTTTGGATACTAAAAGAGTAAGATACAACACATTAGTAAGCCAGCGAGCTGGTTTCTACTCCTGCTTCTGCTGCCATCCTGTTTTCTTTCTTTTTTTCTTTTCAAATAATTTTATTAATTTTCTATTATTACATCTGATCAGCGCTTAATAAACACCGTGTGGTCTGGGTTAATTTGTTTGCTTAATAATGCAAGTTACATTCTTACCCCTTTTTTCCCAACCATGGATAAAACAAAGTAAGAATGTTTTGAACATTGTGGGGAAAACAAATTTAAATAAGAACGTTAAACAGGATCCATGATAAGGCAATCAAGACGATCAGTTAGAAAAGAAGCTTTATATCGATGTGCTTATTATTTGCAGAAATATTAGAAATAAATGTCTATATTTCATTGTTATTTATCCAAATAATAAAAATTGTATTAATTCAAAGTTGGCAAAAGAGAACATAGTTGAAAGAAGAGAATATCAAGCAAAGCTATTATGTGGACTATAGAGTTATAGAAACGAATGGTTATTGATTGTTTTTTTAAATATAAAGCCAGACAACACAATGTTTACCAAATATTAAGGTGATTATGTAAAAAAAATTCGTAAAACGTACGGTATTTAAAAAATAAATAAATTCCAGGTTTGAAAATATCCTGTATCTTCTTTCTCTTTGATCCTCAATATAAGTCTGTCCAATATTTTCTTGATTATCTCTTTGTCTAGTGGTTTTTCTTCATTCTTCCAGTGCTGACCAAACACACACCTCACTGCAGTTAGTACATGCAATGTTAAATATACACTTTGCTTATCAGATTTTTCTGGTATTATACCTAATAAGAAAAGTTCAGGTTTAAAATCTACATGTTTTCCCAACATCTTTTCTAGCCAAGTATGTATTTTTGTCCAATTTTTTTTTTTGCTTTAACACAGGTCCACAGATTCTAAAATGATTTATTCAGATGAAGAAGGAAGAATTGTGATGGTAGAAATATACTTACATCAAAAACAAGCATTGTTAGTAGCAATCTACGCACCAAATAATAACCAGGAAGAATTCTATCAAAATCTTCAAAGAAAAATAATAGAAACGGAGTGCCAAAGTATCTGTTTAGTAGGAGACTTTAATGCGATAGTGGATGGGATATTAGACTATAAAAGTAGTAAAACAGGAAAAACTGGAAGAAGAAGATTACCTAATATGATAGAAGAATTTTTTTTTAATATGATAGACGAAATTGGAGTACAAGATGTTTGGAGGGACATTAATCCAGGAAAATTACAATGTACATTTTATTCAGACAGTCAAAAATCCTGGTCCAGAATCATTATGATTTGAATGACATCTGAACTGAGGACAACAATGCAGGAAATTGAGATAGAACCAGGTACATGGGCAGACCATAATCCTTTAAAAGTGATGTGGAGAGGAATACAAAAAAAAATCAAGATGGATGTTGAACCAATCTATATTAAAAGAAAGAGAATTTATAGAACTAGCAAAAAAAGAAATGGAGTTTTTCTTCAAAGACATATTTTTAAACAGCTGCCACCGTGTTTTTTCATCCTACAGGAATCTCCACAACCCATCAATCCACTGGGTGGGTTGGTGGGCTTGTTTGGGCCTGTTGCAAGAATTATTGCCATGATCTTGACTATCCGCCGTATCGAAAAAGGACATTACCTTCTGGGAAAGGTGGAGTTGTGTCCTTTGCGTCTTCAAGCATGCTGTGATCTCCTCTCCATCCTTTCTCCCAGCCCAAAGCAACACACTTCCGAGGGCTCCTGTATTTGTGGCTCAGTTCCAGATAATAGTTGTCAAGAGGGCCTGAGGAAAAATTGCCATTAAAAAAAAGAAGAAAATGGTTTTTCTTAAGAGAATGACAGAAAAACAGAGTTGGAATAGAATAGAATAGAATAGAATAGAATAGAATAGAATAGAATAGAGTAGAGTAGAGTAGAGTAGAGTAGAGTAGAGTAGAGTAGAGTAGAGTAGAGTAGAGTAGAGTAGAGTAGAGAACGGGATGGGAATAGACAAGACTAGACTAGACTAGACTAGACTAGACTAGACTAGACTGGACTGGACTGGACTGGACTTGACTGGAATGGAATGGAATGGAATGGAATGGAATGGAATAGAGAACGGGATGGGGCTAGAGTAGAGTAGAGTAGAGTAGAGTAGAGTAGAGTAGAGTAGAGTAGAGTAGAGTAGAGTAGAGTAGAGTAGAGTAGAGTAGAGTAGAGTAGAGTAGAGTAGAGTAGAGTAGAGTAGAGAACGGGATGGGAATAGACAAGACTAGACTAGACTAGACTAGACTAGACTTGACTAGACTAGACTGGACTGGACTGGACTGGACTGGACTGGAATGGAATGGACTGGAATGGAATGGAATAGAGAACGGGATGGGGCTAGACTAGACTAGACTAGACTAGACTAGACTAGACTAGACTAGACTAGACTAGACTAGACTAGAATAGAATAGAATAGAATAGAATAGAATAATGGGATGGGAATAGACTGGACTGGACTGGACTGGACTGGACTGGAGTAGAGTGGAGTAGAGTAGAGTAGAGTAGAAAAAGAAAATGGTTTTCTTAACAGAATGACAGAAAAACAGAGTTGGAATGGAACAGAACAGAACAGAATAGAATAGAATTGGAAGGGACCTTGGAGGTCTTCTAGTCCAACCCCCTGCTCAGGCAGGAGACCTTATAACATTTCAGACCAATGGCTCTCCAATCTCTCCTGGTGCCT